AAATTCTTTTTAGCATGAAAAAGGGTATTATTAACAGAGTGGTTATCCAAGGGGAGGTGAGATTGGAACTGGACAAAAAGGTATCTAAAAGGAGGGAGAAAAATGTTTTAGAAGAAAATTAAGAAGGCATTAACCCTTTACACTAATGGTCATGCCAGTTTCATGAAACATATTTTATATATTTTGCACATAAAATGTGCATATGTATGTGTGTATTCATACATTCATGATATATGTTATTGAGCCAAAAGAAGTCTTGATGCATGTGCAGTTTGTCAATGACATCAGAACTCTGATGACCACCTTTGAAGTGACTGTCATGCAGTTTTGACCAATCCCATTAGAACATTGTTTGAGGGGTTGAAATTCACAGATCATCCATGCATTACAGATCATTGTTTAATTATCAAACAATTAGGGAAAAAGACACTCAACAAGGGGCCTATTCAATACCTTCCTTTGTTTGTAATTGTTGAGCATCTTTGAAAAGCATTTTCAATATGATTCAATAATTGGGTTAGGCCCAGTGGTCGGCAAACTCATTAGTCAACAGAGCCAAATATCAACAGTACAACGATTGAAATTTCTTTTGAGAGCCAAATTTTTAAACTTAAACTATATAGGTAGGTACATTGTTATTAACTTAATTAGGGTACTCCTAAGGCTTAGGAAGAGCCACACTCAAGGGGCCAAAGAGCCGCATGTGGCTCACGAGCCGCAGTTTGCCGACCACGGGCCTAAGGTATAGAGTCTCTCCCAGGTTCTCTGAACAGCCCTGTCCAATCGTTGGTTAATCTCAAAAACTTCCTTCTCTCTATATATACATACCTGGATACCACATATAAAAGGATTCAAACCCAGGGAGGAATTGTTAAGCCTCAGAAGACCAGAGGGCTCCTGAACTTCAGAACCATAATGTAACTAGACATGTCTGGGAAGTTTCTGATTGAAACTGAGCAACTTAACGTCTGCAGATCCAGGAGCTATAAAACCAGGGTGACAGCAATTTACTCCTAATGGTATGATTTAGTCATAATGGTCTGATTGCCAGATAACAGGTCACCAATTTGTATAGCTCCAGCCAGGCCATGTGCTGCTGGAAGCAAGGCGAGGGGGAGGGGCACACCACTGGGAAACAAAGGGTCACGGGGAGCAGAGGTACATGTGTCCTGGCAAGAAGAGGTCGCTGCAACTGGACAGCCTCAGAAAGCCCTGCCCTCACAGTGTTGCAAGTTCTGGAATGAAGGACACACCTATGCACAGAGTGTTCTTGGTTCCTCCCAAAGTTCTTATCAAATCTTATCCTGGCCACTGAAGGAGGCTGTGGCCAAAAAGTCTTCCGGCCACTTATCCGGCAGCTGGTGGCTTTAAACTTTACATTTTGCGCCAAGAAACCTGCAAATCCCAGGCAGCAGGCAGAGGCCTTCTGCCAGCAGCAGAGTCCCCGGACTCACACCCACCTTCCCCCGGGAGCAAGTTCCAGAACAGAGGCAGGGAGGGGGCCGAGTCCAGGCAGGAGTCCCGGGAGGTGACCGCCGAGGCCGCCGGTTTCAGTCCCCACCGGGCCTGGCTGGACGTGCTACTTGCACAATTTACAAACCGAGTTAAACAGCAACAAACCCTGCTCCGCACCGCGCTCCGGGTCCCGGGACCTGCGGAAACCCAATTTCTTTCCCCTCCCCCTTCCCCGCCTGGAGCCAGGCTGGCCATGCTGGGGCGGGACGCGGGAGGGAACCCAGTGGCCGCCGCGGGGCAGGGGACGCACAGTGAGAGGCACGTGCAGGAACCGGTGCGGGGAAGTGGCGGCGGGCAGGCACTGCGCGGCCGGAGGACGAAGGGAGAAGACGCAGGGGAGACACCTTCAGATGGGAGCGCAGCCCGAGGCCAGGGCAGGGCGACGGGGTGGCCACTTACGAGTCTCCCAGAAAGTCGTGGAAACGGATGCGGCCGACGGTCGTATTGGCCTCGAAATTGGGAGCCTCGTCCCCGAGAAGGAGACCTCCGGGCATGGCGGCAGCGGTGACGGAGAAGGGGCAGCAACGACACGCACCGCCGGCGGGTTCGGGAGGAGGTGCTACTGCGGAATGAGCTGGGCTCGCGGGGCGGGGTGGCGGGGCCTGGTCGTTGGCGGGGTGGGTGGGGCCTGTCGGCGGGGGCGGGGCGGGGCGGGGCGGGGCGGGGCCGGGCCAGGCCAGCTCTGGTTCGCCAGATCCCCGCCACCTCTCTTACCATCCCTGGAGCCAGTGGGCGCTAGCGTGCGTGTCCCTTTAGGTGAGGTCGCCCCAGGCAGGCTCGGGGGTGCGCAGCATTGGACCCTGCAGTGTGTGTGCGCTTTGGAGGTGAAAAAGCGCAGCACAGTAGGAATGGGCCCCCACCCGGAGAATCCCACAGCCGCCCCAGGACCCCGGAGCCGCAGAATCCGCGCAGGAGGGCCTGCCCACCCACCCACCTCGGACGACCTGCACTCCCGGCTCTGACTGTGTGAGCGTCTGGAATCGGGCAGCTTCAGCCCGCCTAGCCATCATGAATAGTGTCATATCGGAGGATGTGGCAAGATCCAGATGTGTGGAGGACCTTACGTCAGAGGAAGTGGCTTTCTGATTGCAGCAGAAATTCTCGCACCAATGTTAGTGCTTGAGGGAATGTGACTAAAGTTTTCATTTTTATTCCACTCCCCGTTCCCAGAGCTCATTATGAACTATAAAATAACACAATTATTCTGAAGTCTAAATGTAAAATTTAAAACATACTTATTGTGATCTTCTGTCCAAGCACGACTTAGAAAAGATGACTGTTCTCTTGGAGCTTTCATTCTAGTGGGGGAGACATAATTAAATAAAAATATATTAGGTAGCAGACATCCTATTGAGAGGAATAAAATAAGGTGTGCTAGTGGTGACTGGTGCTGCTTTGGATTGGATAGTCTGATCTGGGAAAGCCTCCGGGATCATTTAGGTCAGTGGTTCTCAACCTGTGGGTCGCGACCCCGTTGGCGGTCCAACGACCCTTTCATAGGGGTCGCCTAAGACCATCCTGCATATCAGATATTTACATTATGATTCATAACAGTAGCAACATTACAGTTATGAAGTAGCAACGAAAATAATTTTAGGGTTGGGTCACATGAGGAACTGTATTTAAAGGGCCAGAAGGTTGAGAACCACTGATTTAGGTGAACTACTTAGCACATAATAAGGGATCTGGAAATGGTAGCTATTATCTGGATGATGATAATTTACACAATAACTCTTGCTTTGCCAGCTAGAGGCGAGGCACTGTGCCAGGCCTGGTGCTGCAATGGAGATACAGTCCCTGCTCATACAGCGAAGGTGGCATGCATGCGGTAATGATAAAAATGCAGAATAACTGCTGATAGGGGGAGAGTGCCAAATGGTTGGAGTTCAGAAGTGGGGAAAATTCTCAGGCTTAAGGGAGGTACATGGCAGTGTTAGAAGTGACTCACTGTGATTTCAGTTTTCAGCACAGTGATGTTTTCATTTGTGTGGGTGCATGCTGATCAGTTCTCTTCTGAGCAAGGACTTGCAGTAAGATTCTTGCTAAAATTTCTAACCACTCAAGAAAACTGTAACACTACTATAATTTAATTTCTAAATTAATTGACTCCAATCTTTGGTTCTAAAAACTCTATGTCTTACCTCCTTTTGTAGGGGAGAAGGAGAAGAAAAGGAGAGTAATTTGACCTTGAGGCACTATTACTAGTATTGTGGAGCTAGACTAGAAGACAAAGCTATTACCACAAATATGGAGAATGAATACAGGAACAGGTTACTGATCTCTGTAAAGGGCATAGTTATGGAACTGACAGTTGTAAATTGAGCAAGTACAATGAAATAAGAAAGAGCCTGTTAGAATTTACAGTGCCACAGACTGCACCCCGCAATCCTCTTGCTTCTTGCAAAACTTGTCTACTTTAATCTTTGAAACGTTATCAATTCTTTTAAATTAGCTGTCAACATTTTTTAAACACATGATTTTTCACAAAAATATCTGGATACCTGCCTAAAATGTCAAGATCTACCCACGCTGGGCCCATGTTCTATTTGGCAAATGCTGGCTGGGGAGTAGCCACCGTGGCACTGTCTGTCCCTGTTTGTTCAGAAAGTTCTCCAACATTTACTGACATTGTCTATTGTCATTTTAGCTCCCCTCTCACAATGTTACTTTTATTAGAGGGGAATTAGGAAGAAAATGTCCCTATCTCTGTCAACACTGTGAAAATGAAAGGTTGCCTGACAGCCATGTGTTTCCAGGAGGAACAAGGTAGAGCATATTTCTTTGTAAAAGTAAGAATGATCCTGTGTACTTAATACGCAAACAGAGTGGAAGAAACCATCTGTACTTCTTGGCCCTGTGGGTAGTTGGGTTTAACCTCTGC